GTTGAGGGTTGCGCCCTTTGTCAGCAAATGAAATCAGATACCCACCCTACCACTCCCCCGCTGGTTCCTATCCCTTCTTCGGTCTCTACCCCATTTTCGCAAGTCTCTGTCGACCTCATCACTGATTTACCTCCTTGCAACGGTTTCGATTCTATCATGGTCGTGGTAGACCATGGTCTTATGAAGGGGGTAATTCTCATTCCTTGTACAAAAACCATCACCTCAGAAGGCGTAGCAAAGAAGTTTTTTAAATACATCTACTGCCGCTTCGGACTCCATGAGAAGGTGATCTCAGATTGAGGACCACAATTCATATCCAAATTCTCTAAAGCCCTTGCTAAGCTTTTGAAATCCGACATTGCCGCTTCCACCGCTTATCATCCACAAACGGACGGCCAAACCGAACATTTAAATCAAGAACTGGAAACCTATCTCCGAATCTATTGCCGCAATAACCCAGAAGAATGGGTTGAACATATGTATCCCAATGTCTGAATTCGTCCACAATCACCGCAAACACGATTCCCGCAACACATCTCCATTCTTCCTTATGATGGGATATGAACCGCGAGCTCTCCCTCACGTACTTCCCGATTCTACCATCCCAGCAGCAGAAGAACGACTCCACCTACTTCAGAAAATACGTGAAGAAGCTATCTCTTGTCATAACCTAGCAATGCAGCGAATGGCCGCACGATCGTATGGGAAGAAATACCAACCATGGAAAGTTGGAGATAAGGTTTGGTTATCGGGAAAGAATCTCATCACGCAGTTACCATCACGAAAACTCGCCCTGAAATGATACGGGCCCTTTACCATGAAAGCCGTACTCTCCCCTATCACATTCACACTCCAACTCCCAGAACAATGGAAGGTTCACCCCACGTTCCATGCTTCCGAGCTATCATCCTATCATGAAACCGAAATACACGGTCCTAACTTCCCCGATCCCCCACCCGATATCATCGATAACGAAGAAGAATACGAAGTCGAAGCAATCTTATCACACAAGGGCACGGGTAAACGAAGACGCTATCTCGTATCCTGGAAAGGATATTCTTCCGCCAACAACAAATGGATTCCCACAGAAAACCTCGGCAATGCTTCCACAATCCTCGCTGCTTATAAGAAAGCTCATCAGTTATAAGAGTCTGAATGAAAGTATGTCTTTTTCAGAACTCCGTACTCTTCAAATCCGTCTCCTGCAACTCCAGTCTATTGCCAACGCCATTGATAACATGTCCGCAAGCCTTACCACCTCCCCATCCACAACATCCGTCACATTGACCGAAACCATCAGATCCCCAAACTACTTCACCATTCTTGACGACATTGAAACCAACACATTATTTGAATCTGCCCTCCTTTCCGAACAATCCACTATCGAGATAGACCGCCTCCTCGCTGAACAAGGAGCTCTCTCTAGTACCCTTCTCATTAACATCATCCGTGCTGCCAATCTTGTCAAACGTACCGCAGGACTTCTTAATGACGAACGTCTTGAGACCATTTTCCGTCACCTTCATATACGTATTCGCAACACTGCACTTCCTCTACCAAAGCGGTTGTTAGAGAGGCAATCCATATCGTCACTGAACGAATTGCAACAAACCCAATCACTAGACCACCATCCCCACACATTGCAATTCCCGTTCCACCTCCGGTTGAGACACCAACTCCTGTTGAGCATATGTCTAATGTTATCAGTCCTCCTTCTATACCGGTCATATCAATTGCTACTACGTCTGCCCCGGCGGCAACGACTCCTCGTATACATCCCACTCACTGACAACCTTCCAAGCGAGAGATCTCCTGTCTCCCCCACTTCTCGAAACACCACTTTACGCTCTAAAACACCATCCCCGCCTCCGCAATCATCATCGGTCACCATCGTAAAGACTGAAAACCACGATAACTTTATTTGTCGTAACTGTGACATCGCCGGTCATCGTCACAAGAACTGCCCCACATACTTCTGCCATGTATGTCGTAATCTCGCGCCTGGACATCTATCCGTCTTTTGCAAAGAACTTAAAGGAGAAAAGCCGCTTCCTTAAGTATGGACGGATGAAGGCTTCTATGAGGCTCTCGCCAAATGGGAGGCTGATAAAGACGCCGCGTTAGAACAGCTTTCCATCGAAGAAGATGAGAAACTTTTCACCCAATGTGCTGGGGATCGTGATAACTATGATGCCTACAATAATTTTGATTGTTGAAATCGGTGACTTCAACGATAACAACGGGTTAATGTTACAGTCAAGTACGCCCCTATTCATTTTCTCTTCTTACCTTGTATTACGTCACAATCGCCATCATGAGCCGTCGCTAGACTTCTCTTATTACCAGTTGTATTACACCACGATCGCATTATGCCATCACTAGGTGATCTATTCTTGTTATCTCTGACTCATTCTGACTTCATCATACCGGCCCTAAAGCAGTTATCTTTCACTATATAAACTCGCTCTGTACTATGTAGTTCTTTACTTCAATCTTACTAGGTTTTACCTGGAACTTCCTTCACTTAAGACCTCCAATCTTAAGTCGTCTGAAACTTGATTCAAGCCAAGGACACCCTCCTTGTCTTGTCTTAGTGAACCATCAAACTTTGGCATATGCTGAAGCCTTGAACCGACCTTGGCCTATTACTCTTACCAAGTAGCCATACGTCAGAACCACCCTAGTTCGTAACAGTCCCTACCCTAACATCCTTCAACCCTAATCTCCATGTCAAGCTATCAGACATGCATATTGAATGTGACTGAAACAACCTCGAAATGAGAGTTTCCCACCTTCTGCGGACCAAGACCTCATCAACAGAAGGTGAAGATGTTTCGTTCACCAAGCAGAACTGGCCCCTCAGACCCAGAGAATGCATTCCTCCATCACCTCAAGGTCAACAACCCACCTCCAGGGATTGCCCTCTTTGCATATCGCCACAAGAATGGCCACCGCTCCTTCACTCAAACAGAAGTTCATCTCCCAAGTAGCCACAGCAGCCAGAGCTGCAGGTATAGAACCCCTCCAGGGCCATGGAATACGCATCAGATTGACCCTCGAATATCTCCTTTGCAACATTCCCTTTGAAGTTGTCAAAACAAAAGGACATTGGGCCAGCAACGCCTTCCAATCATACTTACGGAAGCACGTCCAAATACTGGCCCCATTCATGCAAGCCACTCCTGCTCTCCATGATGAATTCATCTGCTTCTCGATGCCAAGATCTCGCTGAAAGCAAACACTGCCCTCCTGTGAGTAGTCCTTCCCCTCCTACCTGATTGGGTTTTCCCTGGCTTCGCTGCAATGCATCATTACGGACTCCTACAACTTTGGGGATTCGCAGCTCACCTTTTCTCTTTGGCAGATCTCTGATTGGGGCCGAAGCGCTTCGCGCCTTCGCCCATTCACTTAGTACCTAGTCTTCATACCATACCCCCATCATAGTCTCACTCAAATATATTGACTTCCAAATATTTCTCCCCCTAAGTGTGCAATGCAGTAACACCCCAAGATTGATGCATGAAGTTAATGTTCCCTGTCACTTTTGTATGGTGGACCTTTAGTGACAGTTCGATTTACCGTTATGCCATGTGCATTTTTCACAGTTCGCTATATTTATTGTCGTATATCTGATATTTATCATTGTATATCCTAGAGCAACAATTCTGATAGGTCACAGGTGAGTTATGCATGATAACACTCAGTAACTCCTATTGAACAGACTAGGGGTTTGCTGTACGAACTTACAGTGCGTTGCAAATGACTTTAGAGTCACATTTTCAAAAATTCACCAGCTTTTGTTTGTTCCTTTGTTTTGACATGTGACTTCTGTCACACTTGGCCGCAATCATATGCTGTAGTGCTGGGAGCTTGCAACAAGTTTCAATGGCACCTCTAATCACTCCTGAAATGCGCCATAATATGACTGTCTGGCGCTATGAACAACAGAAGACTGTGCTGAAATATCTAAACTGGCTCAGTGTTATGAAGCTACTGTCTACAATGTCTTGCAAAACCACTGCAAATATGGCCAACACACCAATCCATTTGCACAAGGAAGAGGCTGTCCACGTACTCTGAGTACCACTGATCTCGACTACTTGCGCTCAATTCTTCAGGCCAACCCAGCTCTATACCTTGATGAGCTGCAGGAGAAGCTGCAGTCCTATCGAGATGTTGATGTGTCCATAGCCACAATCTCTCGAGCACTGCAATGCATGGCATTGACTCACAAGAAGCAAGAAAAACAAGCTAGTGAAAGGAATGAGTTATTAAGAGCAACATGGCAAGCACAGTATGGAGATATACCAGCTGAATACTTTGTTTGGTTGGATGAGTCGAGTGTGGACAACAAAATGAACCAGCGCATGGAGGGTTGGACTCCCCTTAGCCTTGCTCGTGTCCGTCGAGCAACTTTCATTCAAGGCCAGCATTTCTCTGTATTGCCCGCATTCTCATGTGAAGGCATCATTGCACTTGACATCTTTGAGGGTTCAGTTAACAAGGAGTGGTTCATGAAATTCCTCAATGATGATCTGGTGTGTACCATACCTTTGGATGACAACTAATGTTAGTACTTAATCATTCATCATGCAGGCCCCAAAGCTCTCACCATATCCTGGCCTTCGTAGTGTAGTAGTGATGGACAACTGTGCCATTCATCATGATGCAGAGGTTCATGCTATTATCAAGGGGGAATGTGGTATGTGCATGTGCAAGTACATTTGGTGATCAAAACTGAGTGTGCCGAACAGGTGCAAAATTAATTTACCTACCCCCCCTACTTGCCCGACTTCAACCCAATTGAACAAGCTTTTCACTCCATGAAAGCTTGGTTGCGAAGGCATGAAGCAGAGGCTCTACAGCCAGAGACTCAGGCCTTGGTTGATTCAACAGGCTATGATGTCAATAATGATTGAATATGTGGATGGATGGATTAAAAATTCAGGGTACTCGTTCAGAATGTAATTAGGAATGAAGTAGGTATAAGAATAAAGAGATTAAGAGATGTGATTAGCAAAGTGAGAGACATTAAAGCTATTCCAGTCTTTGCAGAACATCTGCAACTTCCGAAGATGACCCTCTACAACACCCATAATCTCACAAAGACGAGCAACAGGGATATCAGGAATTATGTCTGGTGTGAACTCCATGACCACCAATGAATCCTCACAGCTAGCAAGATCAATATCTGTGGCTTCAGTGAAGTCACACAAACAGGCATGGAGCTCAGATCCAGATGCAGGGAGTGGTGAAAGTTGTATGGAGGCATGACATGTTGATCGAGTTAGAGATGGGGAGCGCAGATGCTTCTGTGACATGCCTGTGATAAGAGGCATGATAGCCATAATAAGAGAGGCTGCCTCGCTTGATGCATTACCCTCTGTATGAGAAGTATTTCGGTCACGGGGCTTTGATGTACGAAGTTGTCCATCACAAACTCCGTCAAAATCAACAGTATTTGGTGGTTCATTTTTCATTGCATCATATGCAGCCTATGTATAAGTCAAAAATACAAGACATATGAAATGTAAGGACTAGTACCCACCATAGCAGTAGCCCATATCTTCAAATGATGACTGTTGAGGCCAACATGTTCCCCAGTTGAGGATACATAACAATAACCAATCCCACCACTCTCGCCCTGGTGTTCAGCACACAGCCACTTTGCTTTGAGTTGAATAATGATGGCTCCATGGAGCTGGGTCTTGTCAGAGAAGGCTTCGATGTGTGGGACGTAGACAACATTAACAAATGGGCAATATCTTCATAATCAGCTATACCTGTGTGCCAGACTCAAGCTCATCTTCACCTTCTTGGGAATTATTTAATGCAAGAATAGGCTGGTACTGTCAGTGTTAGGTTTGTTGGCAAAATGTACAACTCACACGAGTGCGAATGCGGAAGCCATCCATCTCGTCGATATTGAACTCGATTTCCACTTGGCAAACAGTCTTGTTTTTCTTCAAGAGCGCTGCCAGAGCCACAGAAAATTGATGGATGTTGTTGATAGTAGTTGCACCAGCTTTACCACCACTGTAAGACATTATCAAGATACGAAATTGTCAAAATTTAGAAGCCCATACACTGATCCTGTCCAATACATCCTGAATGGAGGCCCAGAAATAGCCCCCACTGCAAACTTGTCCTCGAGCTCATGAATTGCTAGGAATCTTGTGATGAACACGGCACGAGATATGTCTTCCAGCACGATAGTATCAGAAGAAATCAACTTAGCCTTCTTCATGACCAGCTTGGATCCTCAGCTGACTGGGCCAGTAACTTGAGCAGAAGTAATTATCTGAACCAAAAAATTGTGACCTTCGACAACTGCCAGAGGTATTGGTACTGCATTGTGCACAACGATAAGCTTCATAATTCACAATTACTGTTCACACTTACAGTAAGCAACAAAACTGTTGCAATGTTTGCGTCATTTTGATTGTTCTGTCTGTATCATTGCAGGACTCGCTGCTATCAACATGTAAATGAGGGCAATATTGTAGCCCTACATTCAGGCTACAATAGTCGCACCACAAGTAAGGTGTGAAACAATTTCCATAAAGAGATACAAGTAATTTACTACAGGGTATGCATTGCAACAGTTTTGTTGCTCGCAGCCTTCTGTTCCCTTGCAAGATCTTGTGCGGAGCGCTCAGAATAGACAGAGTAAGAGGTGTTAAGAGGTGTAACAATTACTGCGGGTGTGGTATGCGGAAAGTTGCGGGACCATCTGGTCAAAAATGTGGATTTGAGCTTTTGCCAAGAAAGCTTCTCATTGTACGGTAAGTCGAAAACCACTGTAATGCAGTGCCTGCGAGAGAGCGGCTAAAGCATATATGGCGGGAGGCTATTGCAATGCCGGCGGCATTGAGCATGCAGCTATAATCTTCCATCCATTCAGAAGCATCCTGCATGCCAGTAAACTTGCAGCAGGAAGGTCTAGCAGGGACAGACATGATGCTATAAAAGTGTGGGAGCCAAAAAACAGTGGTGCTTGCGGTTGAAAGTGTGCGAGAGTACGCCGAAGTGTGTGAACGTACATGAAAGTGCTCGGTGTCGATGGGCTTCTCTACCCTGTGACACTGAACTCTAGGAGTCCATTGACTCTAATACCTGTTGCTCGTTACTCAATGAGACTCTCTCTAACTCTGGGTAATCTGGACTCTGGACTCGAAGGGGGAAGGACCAAACCAAAGCTTGGTCGAGGCGAACTCACTCTGTTCACCAGTTGGAGCGATGTATCCACGACTGTGTGCCTGCGTGTCACAAGCAAGGCAAGAAGTGGTGAAGAGCACTACGCTATGACAAAGCCCGAAGGACACTGAATGGCTCACTAAACTATGGTGCTACTCGGCTGCCACTTGGCTCCTACCCCTGGGGTCCCCTACTCCACCGTTCCAGAATGGATCTCCTTATATGGTGTCGCCTCGCACTCTGCAATATGTTATGTTTTGATTCATATATTTTCATTTCCATACAATGACCTAGTGTCTACTTTGTAACTCCTTGAGTTTGACTAGTAACTGAGTATATAATAGATGAACCACTGTGGTGTTCATTCAACCTTCCCAAGTCTTATTAGGGGAGTTCAAAGCTGGATTTTGAGGCTGATTTGGACGTCGATTTCATTTTTCAAAAACGAAATCAGCTTTGGTGGATTTGGGATGGGTTTCAGCTGGTTCAGCGGCAACATTCGGCAATGTGAGTCAGACTCTAAAATACGCACAACGTGACTTACCTAATACCACCTGGCCTTCCCAATAAGTAAGCCCTATTAAGCTTGGTGCACACACACCTTACCAAGTTTAATCAGGCTCGGATTCAGTAAAGCCCCAACACCAGCGATAAATCACGCCCCAAATGCCCAATTTACCTTACAGCTCTCCTACCTGCCCTACCCAAACAAGTAAGCCCTGTTCGGCTATACATCCTGCCCCTCCCAGTGTCTGGCACTTCCTGTAACCTCCCCGACTTGTCCAAACCTTGTGAAAGAGCAGCTTCCCACGCCCTTTCCTCCTTACCTCTACATGCTGTCCTGCATGATTTGGGAATCATGCATGGACATGACTACTAGGTATCCCCCTAAAAGACAAAGTCTGTTAGCTTAGTCCTCAGACTAGTCAACCCATACCTTGGTATCAAACCTTGGTCCAATGGTTTCAGTTTTCCCTCAGTGATTCATGAATCCACCATGTTTTGAAGAAAAGTCATATATGAGATGGGAATCACACAATGACCTAGTTGATATGAGAAGCAAATTGAAGGTTAAGGTATTGCCTTTCCTTTGGCTTATTCACTTTGGCTAGAGAAACCCATAGAGAAAAGTTCAAAGCCTAACAAAAACCTATCTAAAAAGCCCGCGTATTGTGTACTATTATTTGTTCCATTATTTCTGAGTTGTTTTCTCTAGTGTTTCTTTACTTTACTTTCTATTAGTATGCTCTGACTAATCAGATGCTTCATAAAATTGTACCTACAGGGTATGATGTCATAATGATGTCATAGGACTTCACACACACTCCTGCAGGTATTCTGTTGAAAGATATGATATCATTGTGATGTCATAATGATGTTATCAATTCCAGAATGTTCCATGGAATTTGCTAGAACATTCCAATGACTCATAGTGACTCAGAATGACTCAGAGTGACTCAGAATGATGTCATTATCCCACCATGAATATTCTAGAATGTTCTTTTGCAGCTACTAGAACATTCTGTGTTACAGTCAAGTATGCCCCTATTCATTTTCTTCCTCTTACATCATTGTATTACATCACGATCGCATCTTGCCGTCGCTAGATGAACTATTCTTGTTATCTCTGACTCGTCTTATCTCTGACTCGTCTCTATGACCTCATCGTACCGGCCCTAAAGTTGTTACCGTTTATTATATAAACTCGCCCTGTACTATGTAGTTCTTTACTTTAATCTTACTAGGTTTTACCTGGAACTTCCTTCGCTTAAGACCTCCAATCTTAAGTCGCATTGAACGTGATTCAAGTCGAGGACACTCTCCTAGACTTGTCTTAGAAACCATTGAACTTCGGTATACGCCGAAGCCTTGAACCGACCTTGGCCGATTACTCTTATCGAGTAGCCATACGTCAGAACCATCCTAGTTCGTAACAAAAGATTAAAGTCTTCTACGAATACATCGCCATCACGCTTTGTAACCCAGAACTGAACAAACCCTGGTCATCACGACAGATAGAACCCCAGGTCCCCAGAAGCTAACAAGCTGACGTCCTTGACACCAATCTTTGGCGCTTTGAACCTAGGTGCTGTACCACCCCTACCACCTTTGAACCCCCCGATGTCTTCTACGAAACCCGTTGAAATCAAAATCGGTTCTCCCCCGGTCTTTGACGGGGATAGAGATAAATCCGACGGATTCTTGATGTCATGCCAATCCTATCTTGATATTAACGAGAAAATCTACGTCGACGACAAACAGAAGATCATTTTCGTAACCTCCTTCATGAATGAAGGGAACGCACGCTACTGGAAGGAAGATTTCCTCAGACAAGCGCAAGACCCTAACAATAAGACCACCGCAGGCCTTGTTAAAGGATACGGTACATGGACTGAATTCCTTGCCAACTTCAAAAGCGCGTTTAGGCCGCTTGATCCCTCGGGAACAGCGCTAGCCAAGCTCCGTAACCTTAAACAAGGAACCGAACTTCAAGATTACATCTCGGAGTTCTTGATGCTCGCACGACGGGCAGGAATTCAAGGTGACGTCGCCAAGAAACAGTTCTTCTTAGACGGACTCCACCCGGGACTGCTCGCTCGCCTTTACGGCACGGGCGATGTCTCGGACGATTTTGAAGTTGTCCTCTCCACCTGTATCAATCTCGACAACTCACGCCTCCACCTGAACGCTATCAGAGCGCGCAACCAACCCCAGAAGAAGAAGAACTTCGGATCCAACCGATACGTGCCATCCAGAGATCCCAATGCTATGGTAATTGATCGGCTTTCTGAAGAAGAACGCGCGGAACATTTCCGCACCGGAAAATGTTTCACCTGTCACAAGACCGGGCATCTTTTTAAAAACTGTCCAGAGAAGAAGAAAGGAAAGACTCCGGTACGCCGCAAAGAAGTAGAAAGCAGCGATGATGAAGAAGAAGAAGCAGAAGTCCGCCGTCTCAACGAGGATTTTTGATATGGGAGACTGGATCAACGTCAGTATCTCTCAATGTACCCATAAGACTTGTACGAAAAGTTGGTGAACGAAAAGAACTCCGGGTTCCCCTTTCCCTCATTTCAAAAACACGTCTGAAAACCGTTGAAACCACCGCAGTTGTTGATTCCGGAGCAGCCGGAACCTTTATCTCAGAAGACTTCGTCAAGAAACACAAGATCCGAACCCACGCCCTCAGTAAACCTTTCCGGGTTACTACCGCCGATGGAAGCTATTCCAAAAGCGGAGCTATACGCCGATACTGTGTTCTCACCATCAAGATTGACGAACGAACTATGATAGGGAAGTTTAACGTCACACGTCTTGGCAGGAGAGATCAGATTCTCTTAGGGATCCCCTGGCTACGGGCTATGAACACGGCTATAGACTGGACAGCCGAAACTCTTATCCTTTCCCGAACGGAAAAGAGTAATCAAGTTGAAGAAGAAGTCGACAAAGAAAGGAAGAAGAACGGTCTTCCACTCCTATTTCGACAAAAACCCATAGATCGGACTTGGAAGCAATCAAAACTTAAGAAAGCACCAATCGCCGAAATCCCTGTCATTTATCCTAAGGCAACCATCGAAGAAATTGTTGACGACGAGGCACCACATACCCATCCCACCACTGATTCACTACCTGATCTACTCCCCATCCCCGACGAAGACGATGAGACTTTTGATACCAAGGAGGACGTCTGGACGCAAGAGAACTTTGCCGCACCAGTGCGAGAAGTCTCTACGTATAACCTAAATGACGATGAATTTCTGGTGGAATACTCCATTGACACATCCGAACTCCGGGTAATTTCAAATACTACCATGGATACGCCATTGACCCCGGACGGTACCAGTCGTTCTGAACAGAAACCCACGGTCAAACCTTTGCCACGGCCTACGGAATACACGAAAGTTAGTAACAAAGCTCAGCAGTTCGCTCTAGCTGCGGGCTTAGAACAGAAGAAGAAAACTTTCGAAGAACTCATACCCTCCTATCTCCACGACTTCGCTGATATCTTCGCTAAAGACGGTCTTAATCAACTCCCTCCTGAACGACCCG